CCCGGCGTTGTACCATGCGAATATGGGCGCATTGCGCATACGTGTTTCTGCCACCCCCTCTTCAAACCGGGCTGAGGCTGTCTATGGGCGGTTCCTCGGGAAGGGCTGCGTTGACATAACTGGCCAATGGATGCAGGCACCAACGCCAGAATTTACGATTTATTTGTTATTTTTACTTTCATTTGCCGACCTGCATGGGGAATGAATGTGGAAGTTGACCATGTAAAGACATATCTTAAAGGATCAGGTATTATTTTACCGCTTGCTCTTTATCTCTTCATCCTTGTAGCCTTAGACCAATGACCGTATCTCCCTTGTGTTGGATATTGAACCCTTGACTAGTCTAAGGTTTGATACCCTGGACAAACTATAATAACAGCCAGTAATAATGCACAGGCAAGACCAACTCCGTTCAGATAGCGGAATGTAATCAAGCAAGCCCATTAAACCATCATCTTCCGTCAGCTGGAATGAACAAGCATAGCCCCGATCAAACATCCCAACTGTGGTTTCATCATCTGACTGTTCTGACATGCCCTTGACAAAAGCACCAAAAGCATCTTAGCGTTTCAGAACGTGTCGGGCCGTAGATGGATAGAGGGATGCGGTCAAGGACAACGGCCATGACACAGCGCTAGCGTATGCAAACCACGTGGATTGTCGAGATGCAACGTCTACGGCTCTGCACGTCCCGGGGCTATCGGCGGTGTAAACGCTATTTGGGCCAATAGAGCCATGCAGGATCCCGGGTAGTGTTGGGCTCTACCTTGTACATACTACAGTGTTATAGGGTTTTCGAGCGGTCCGTGTGATTCAGCCAGCCCTTTCGGCCTTCTAGCCTTCCAGGGTTGGAGGGTTGGCTCCAAGGTTGGCTCGTTGGCTTCCGGGTTGGACTCTGGGTTGGACTTCAGGGCTGAACTTCAGGGCTGAAGATGTTGGGCGCCAAGATCTATATCTGTTTTTGTTGCCCGTTGTGAAAGTAGTGGAGTATATCCATAGAGTACGGAGTACTCCGTTATAGATCGCAGAAGTATCAACTCGGGTGGATCGGGCGATCACTGGGAGGGAATCCAGTTCTACCCGCTTCCCCGGTGCCCCTTTTTATTTTTATTTTTTTATTTTTCTATTTTTTATTCTTTAAAATTGTGATTCTTCTTCAATATGATACGTATCAATCCTTTCCCACCCCTTAAAGCGACCCAAGATATCCGATCGGTTGGCGCGGATGTGGTTCCTCAGCCCCCGATTGGGTGCGGGACAACTTCGGTATGCTGGAAGCCATCCTATTAGTCGTACCGACAAGGCAGATTTGGAATGATCAGGTATGGAGTACAACTGTTGTACAGAATGTACTATGCTAGGTCCCCTTATGGTCTGACATCATCCCCATCCAGTCCAGTCACTTTCTGAAACGGTACTTTTGCTCAAGGGGTAAAAATAAAAAAAAAACCCGTCACAAACTGATCTCGCCAATCAGAAACCGGCAATTCAGCTCTTCCCTAAGACAGGCTAAGCGGACCGATGGCCCGTTTTTCAATTTAGGCTCCAAAAGGGAGGATGTCGGTGAACGCGTTCCTTGACCTTTAGACGCGTGACCGGTCTATTTCCGAAGTCGACATTATTTGACAGGGATTTTTGGGTTTTGTTTTTTTTTTTCTCTTTGGGAAATTAAGAACAGGGTTCTAGTGTCGACGATTTATTATTGATTTTTAATTGATTTTAATTCTGGGGTGGTGTCGTTTATATAAAGCCGTTCCTGTCGCACGTCGATTTGACTTTAATCCACCCACTTCCACCTTCTTGAGCCCCCTGAGAACTATACCTACTTCATTCTCGAACACCACTTTCATATCCACCATGGACAAAATCGAGACACCCAAGGAGGAACCCAAGGAGGAGCCACAGAACAGATACAAGCCGACAATCGTTGAAGAGTACCAGATGAAATGGGACCAGATGCTTCAAGACACCGCAAGGCAAATCGACCAGATTCGAGGTACGTTACGTTTCTGACATGGATGCAGAAGAGGGAAACTGACAGCTAGCATAGAGAACGAGCTAGCGAGGATGGCAAATAACAAGAATAATGATGATGATGATGACGACCAGCGCCAGCGCCGTTGAAGCTGTGGGATTTATTGGGAACCGAGCTTCTGGTGTTTGCTTTTTTGTGTGCTTTTTTTTTTTTCTCTACGGATGATGAGAGCATGGATGGGATCAGATGGTGTTTTTTTTGGGTACATTATTATACCTTGAAGCTTCGGTCATTCGCTTTACTACTTGGAAGGCAATATACAAGGCAACATGCAGGAGAACACACTTTCCTTATATTTCTCCACTTACACAACTCCATGCGATGTAAAATAAAATAAAAAAGGAAAGAGAGAGCCTCAAGTGGGGGTGGCACTTGCCTCTCCGGGGTTTATTGGTTTGTTCGACATATACTTTGTCCACTGCATTGCCAATCACCCTCAGATCCCTTTTCAGCCGATGCATGTCATGGCTGCCGCTAACGATCAAGTCGCCCACCCATCCTTGTAAGCCATGCTTGTCGGTGGTCCCAAAGAGGCAGGAGACATTTCCTAACGGACCCTAGACCCCTCGATGTCGTCGCGCACAATGCCACCGTGATTCTAAGCGGTGTGCTTCTCGGGGCACTGCTTGCGTTCATCACTTTTCACCTGGGCTGGCTGCGCCACCATGTCCGTCTGAACGACCGGTTGGTCAACGCCATCTTCCCGCTGGGGCCTCAGGTCTTTTTCTTTACATTACCCTTGTGGTTTATTGTGACATTACGCCCTGCTGCGCGCTTTTATGGTATGCATATCACAGTGGTGTGGAGTCAACCGGTCTGACTTTATTAGTACTCGTAGCGGAATACGCTACTGCGGTTTATCGATCGCTGATGTCATACGCGTTCCCTGCTCCGGAGTATAATATCATTCTGGAGAGCACCATCACAATCCCGGCTCAAATGACCGCGCCCTGAGATGTTGAATACGGAAATCGGACAAAGGACACTTGACATATACTTCGGTTTCAGATTATGCAGTCAAACAAATTCCCAGATACCGAGTACAAGTGTATTGTAGAAGGTATTCCGCAAAAGTCATAGGCGATTAGGGCTGGCGGCAAAAGCGCCAACGGGAAAAAAGCCAAGTGTCTCCACATCTTTCCTTTTTGGGCTTTTGCTCCTCCATCCTCACCTGAACACGAATTATTACTCCGTATACTCCGTGCCTACCTTGTACACCGTTACACCGTCTATCAAAAAGCCCCCCTTACTCTATCTTTGCTTTTTCTGACCTGCCATCATGTCTGCCGATCTCGACCAAAACCCCTCCCCCGCCGACCTAGCCGAACGTGAACGCGAGAACAAAGAGCGCAAAGCCCGCGAGGATGCGGAACAGGCCCAGCTCCCTTACAAGTGGACACAGACGATTCGTGATGTGGATGTGACAGCACCGATTCCCGCCAATTTCAAGGGCCGCGACTTGGATGTGCTGTTGACCAAGAACAAACTCCGCGTCGCAATCAAGGGACAAGAACCCCTCATCGAGGTATGTCCACTGTTCCCCACCCCCGGAGAATTACACCATACACTCTAAATCAACACATCCAACCCAAAAACCGGTCAGCTAATTACCCCCATTTTTCTGTTCAGGGCGACTTCCCCCACGCCATCCGCGTCGACGAATCCTCTTGGACCCTCGAGACTACCCCCACCTTCCCCGGCAAGGAAATCAGCATTCATCTCGATAAGGTGAACAAGGTCGAATGGTGGCCTCATGTTGTGACTACTGCTCCCAAAATCGATGTCACCAAGATTACGCCCGAGAACTCCAGTCTGGGCGATCTGGATGGCGAGACTCGCGCCATGGTCGAGAAGATGATGTATGATCAGCGACAGAAGGAGATGGGTGGTCCCAGCAGTGACGAACAGCGGAAGATGGATTTGCTGAAGAAGTTCCAGGCTGAGCATCCCGGTACGTTGTTTCCTCTTCAATCTCTCGAATTTCTGCGATGTTCTTTCGTTTCAATATGTTGCTAACCTGCTTGCAGAGATGGATTTCTCTAATGCCAAGATGGGTTAAACCCACCCTTGGATAATCTTCGATGAGTGATGAATTGCATGGCGTTTCTCGAATCCAATTCCGAGTCTTGATGGGGTCAATATATTCCTAAAAGTAGATGTCTTTTATTCAGTTTCTGGTCAACTTCTCATTGTTTCTGCGAATACGAGAATTGCCTAATCGGGGATAGCGTCCGTTCTAGTCTTCTCTTTCGCCTCCTCGTATTCTCCGTCACCACCTAGTTTCTCTTCTATTTGGACACATGAAGTGGCCAGGCTGATTAGAACAAGGCGCAGTTCTACAGACTTGAGCATCGCTAGTTGCCTTGCACCAGTCTGACATCTCAGGCGCAGAGCTATATCGTAACCATATCTCGATGAGAAGGGCTACGGACACACTCCCCGCACGCTTGAGACCAGCTTGTTCGTATCGTCTTCTATATACTTCGGATTTAATAGACCGTCGGCAAATATTCCCCGTGTCAAATTTATACTTTGAGAAACGATGGACGACACGCAATCTAAACCCCTGCCCCGGCCACGCTCGTCTAGACACATGCAGGGACAGAATATGGTCTTTCGAATCCCAAACTACAAATCAAAGGATTCTCTAGCGTGCGGGTCCGAACCATCTGAACCGGTCTATCATTCCCGTAGGTCTCATCGCAAATCCCGTGCCGGCTGTGTGAACTGTAAGCAACGAAGAGTCAAGGTATTTGGGACGCCCCCATTATCAACCGTCTGCTGATAATGACCGATCAAGTGCGATGAAGCAAAACCACGTTGTCTCCGGTGCCAAAAACATGGCAGCGAGTGTGACTACTCGGGCCAGCCAGCCCGACCTCAACCTCAAAAGACCAATAATATCATTTCCCAGTTCATCAAGACCAACCCTGACTTGATCTCGATTGATTCTCCAGCCTCTTCAATGTCTCTAATGATGGTCGCGGACAAACTGAATGAATTACTGCAACCGCCCTCTGCTACCGGTATCAAGCTGCCGAGAGCACTCACAGATGCCACAGCATCAACCCGCACCGTGGAAGCATTGCATCATTTCCACAAAGCCCCAGCCTTTGCAACCGAAAGCCAAACACCCGTTCGAATCGTAATGGGCAAAATGGTCCAACTTGCCTTCGAAGTAAGTCCATTCATAGTCTATCTAAAAGCCATGTCTCAACAAAACACAGCTATAATCTACCTAATAAAACTCCCAAACTAACACTCAAACCAACCCCAGACCCCCTTCCTCATGCACGCCATAATAGCAGCCGCAACAACCCACCTCTGCACCCTCCTCCCAGACAACAAAGACTACCGCCTAGCAGAAGCCTACCACTGGCAACAAACAATCAACCAATACTCGACCGAAGTCTCGAAAACCATAACCCGCGCCAACATGGACAAGCTCTACTCCACCTGCATGATAGTCAGCATGCACTCCTTCCACCAAGAAACCTTCAGCCCGCGCACCTCCTTCGTCTTCACAACCGACCCAACCGCACTAACCTGGCTCCGACTCCAAGCCGGCATGCGCTACCTCCTCGAGCGCACGGGCCACTGGCTCCCGCAGAGCATGTGGTGGACTGTATTCATGGAGTCGCGGGATGCATCGCTGGACTTCGAGGATAAGCGTCCCGGGCGTGTGGGTCTTGATCCGGATTTGGCGGATCTTTGTGGGATTGCGGAGGATACGACTGTCGAGGGGAATCCGTGTTTGTGGCCTTTGCGCATGCTTATGGGGTTGTTGCCGTTTGAGAGGAATACGAAGAGTTTTAAGGTTTATAATACTTGGATGGGGAGGCTGGAGAATCCGTTCTATGGGTGTTTGCTTAGGAAGGAGGCGCCGGCGCTTGTTTTGTTGGCTTGGTGGTTGGGGCTTATGTGTTATGTTGAGGAGTGGTGGGTTGAGATGAGGGTTCGCTCGGAGTGTACGGCTATCTGTATGTTTTTGGAGGATAGTTGTGATCCGTTGGTTTTGAGGTTGTTGGAGTTTCCGGCGTCGTGTTGTGGGTATTTACTTCGACATGAGCAGGAACGGGCTGGGGTTCTTGAGTTGAATTGATGTCGGTTTGAGTGAAGTTGGTTTATATCTTGGATTCGTTGCAGTGATACCCTTTTTGTTGGTTGGTGTTTTATCGAGGGTAGTAGTAATCAAGCTAGATGTGGAGCATTTGATTAACGAAATAGATAGTATAATGTATTCGGTTTATCGTAATTGGAACACTATGTCTGGATGTGAGTGAGTACCGGTAACCGAGTATCTCGATACAGTGTCCTCCTGCATCTATGACAAGTGAGTATGTGCAGATCAATATTAAATATCCGAGGCTATCCCAGAAGAAATCCCTTTTTGCACCAAGTCCAGTCCCAGTCATATCATATAAATGATGTCGTCGCGTCATGTGCAATAGAACAGTACCAAAGAAAAATGATAAGCAGAGAAAGAAAGCAATGCAGCAGTTGTGCAAAATAAATGTAAATCGACAATGGACGATCCCAAACGATCCCAGGTCACGATTCCAGATCGCCTAGACCAAAAGAGCGATGTGGAAAATATTAAGCAGGTAGCTAATAAGCAAAGGGCAGCAAGCAAACGTTCTTTCAGAATGTATTAAACGAGTCTATCATCGGCTCTCCCAAGAGACCCGCCGATGACGACGAAGGGACTGATCATCCTCCTCAGAGTATGTAGGCCCAGTCCGCGAACCGGTCATACGGGCAGCGGGCGGTGGATTAATGATGACCGCCATAGTAGACGAGATGGACATGGACCGCGAGCGACTCAGCACTACGGATTGACGGGGAGAGTATGGCGGTGGTGGAGTATCTCTTGTTGCAGTGGAGGTATTGCCGTAGCTGCTGGGAAAGGAAACGGCCGATGAACTATCGGAGGTGAGATCTCCATCGTAATGATCGTTCTTTTCATCGTTGGGGCAGGAGTTCTGAGACTCGGAGGAAATAGATGGGTCACGCATATGGGCTTCCAAAGTCTTCTCGTGGAGGCTCATTGGACGGGCTGAGTACTGCGGGAGAGGGACCACGCTAGAATAGCCTCCATCCTGCGAGTCAGAAGGCGGGGGCCCGTGCCCATGGCTCCCGGCTGGGGTTGCTGGGGACGCTGGGCGGATAAATTCGCCTTCAGCGGAGAGTGTAAAGCGTCCTGTCTGGATGCCGTTGGGGCTGAGTCTTTTGGCGACCACCTCTGAAGAGGAATGGGGCTGCGAGGGATTCTCGTCTCGAGTGGAGCACCCGCAGAGTGCCGAGAGGAAATACATGACTCAATGAGTGTCTGTTTTCTAATTGACCGTGTCAAAGCCAATATTGATTTGACTATAGCGAGAGAAAGTTGGCCCGTGAGTTCTGTAGCAAGAAACGCCGGACAAGAACTATCGTATGAGCAGTTCGACTGTTGAGCCTCAAACGCCGATAGTGGGCTGAACCCCACTTGCGTCGATAAGCCCCAGACCTGAACCGGCAAACAGGAAGAATATGAATCAAATATGAATCTAGAAAGTCATGCTCAAACAGAAAGAAAGGCAGGAAATGAGGGGTGAAAGAAAGGCCAGAAAGCTGACCGGACGAGGCACCCGCAGGCATCCAGATTCCAAGGAACTCTGATTAGCTGATAAGAGAGTATAGGTGCCTGAGGCAGTCCATGGATATCAAAAGCACCTCCAGCTGTTTCAATGAAGGGTTGGCTCATAATGTAAGGAAAGGTGGACCTCTCATAATAATACCCTAGAACCAAACATGGTAAGTCAAACAATGCTAGGTTTCGCTAGGTTGCACCGGCCAGCATCGGTGAATTGTGATATGCAAGCTCCAACTATTTCCGAGATACTATTGAGCATCCATTGGCTCTGAAACAGACTTGCCTCGGGAGAAGCTAGCCAAAGCAAATGAGACTCAACGAAGTCAATTAGGAGTTGACAAAAAAACATCAAGCTAAGAAGGATATCTGCTGAACGATCAGTCTCATACATCAAGTGTTTTTCTGCATTACTAGCCTAAGTGGTAGCTAGCCATCACAATTTTTGAGCGCTTGTACCAGCATAATGATATTCGAGCTTCTAGCATATATGAGACGTATTGATACCCAGTAAAGCATCTTATGTCGTCCACGGAAGTAAAAGACCGATAAGCGATAGGCGATAAGATCCGACGTACCCCAAAATAAATGAGGCGGTGTATCAATAGGGAGCATATTATTGGTTGAATAGTCATGTGGGTTGAGGGGCAAGAAAATATTTGGGCAAAATCCAATCATGTGATCCAAGCACCCCGCCAATCGCGTCGCCGCCTGGAATTTTTTTGTTCTCCCCGCCTTCTCGACCATCGCTTGAGTGATTATATTCTTTTCTCGAATTCCAAATCTCGAGTCAATCAGAACTACAAGGCTCAACCAACGTCATGACCGTCGATCCCAGTATCCAAGAAGTGACACAAAATGTCGAGCCTCCTCAGGTCGATCCTCATCGTTCCCACGATCCCAGCAACAACCTGAAACGGACCGACCCCTTCCAATTCGGCTCACGATACCTTGAAAAGGGCGATGATGTTTTTGAGTTCAATGCTTGGGATCACGTCGAGCCAGACGATGAGTTTAAGGCTTTTGCCGAGACCCAATATGCGAGACAGCGCGAAACACGTGTGTCGGACTTTGATCGCAATCGGTTCAACCAAGACCCCGCCAAGTGGTGGGACCTTTTCTATAAGAACAACACAGCCAACTTCTTCAAGGATCGAAAGTGGCTGCGCCAAGAATTCCCCATTCTCGCTGATGTGACACAAAAGGACGCGGGTCACCAGGTTGTGCTGGAGGTTGGCGCAGGAGCCGGAAATACCGCCTTCCCATTGCTGGCCAACAATGAGAATGAACACCTGAGAGTCCATGCCTGTGATTATTCCAAGTATGCCGTGAAGGTCATGCGCGAGAGCGAGCTCTACAATGAGAAATACATGTCCGCTGATGTCTGGGACGCAACCGCTGTGCCTGACGAGAACGGCGACTCTCTTCCGCCCGGTCTGACCGAAGCCTCAGTCGACGTTGTGATTCTAATCTTCATCTTCTCCGCCCTGGCCCCTAACCAGTGGGACCAGGCTATCCGCAATATCTACCGTCTCCTGAAGCCCGGTGGCCGTGTGTTGTTCCGCGACTACGGCCGTGGCGACCTCGCCCAAGTGCGATTCAAGAAGGGCCGATACATGGCCGAGAATTTCTACATCCGAGGTGACGGCACACGTGTTTACTTCTTCGATAAGGACCAGCTCATCGACATGTGGAGTACCTGGAGCGCAGAAAGCGGATTGCAGATTCCTATTGGTGATGAGAACCCCACCGAAGAAGCATCCGGGGAAAAGAAAGATCCTCAGCCCGCAGAGGAGCTATCTGCAGAGGCCACACAACTGGCAAAGGACAGTGGAGCATTCGAGGTCCTTAACATGGGGGCGGATCGGCGACTAATTGTCAACCGTGGGACCAAGCAAAAGATGTACCGCTGCTGGATGCAGGGCAACTTCCGGAAGCGCGGTGGAGCTGAGACTGAGGCTAAGGCTGTCACCGAGAACACCCAATAAGCTTCTGAATCACCAATTCTGCGATGGTCATTTCAGATGGCTATAATATTCACCAAAGCCTCCCCAAAGACAGTGAATTCATTGTCTACCGACAAGTACGGGTCACAGATAATTGTGATAGTCTTTCCCACCGTCCAATCTTGATCTCGCGATTCCGGCCATGGACTCAACTCCGTGCTTTCTGGTGTATCTCAAACCCCATCGTGTCGAGATCAGCACCATACTGTTGAGGCATTTCCATTGCGAAAAGCCGATACAGCACCTCGAAAGGCCGCGAGGAAATGGCTTGGGTTGCTATGTATATAGGGCAATGGCTTCATGATGGAGTTATGAATGTACGACACACACATTAGAGCATGGCACTTAATTTGCAAATACAGTCCAGAAAACCTACCATATAGAGAACCATCAAAATTCCGATGTAGGAGGATAACCCTCTATTTCATATAAAACCATATATGTACCGAGAGGCTGCCGTGTAATGCCTTAATAGGATTCGGAAGAATAACTTCGAACCCGTATATATTGATGACACGGCTGATGATAGGGATACATAATTTACGAAAGGAAACATAGAATATATCGAAATCAGTCTTTGTTCGTTCTACAGATATTGACAAAGGCAGTCTACAATATGTAGATTCCTAAGTACAGCAAGAATCTCAAAAGTACACGAAAAACAGCAAAAATCTTTGTGCACACCCTGTATCTAGACAGACCGAACGGTGCGAAAGGGAGAGAGACACCGGAGTTATGTACAATCCAATGCTCTAAGAAGAAGAGTAGAAAATCAAGACAAACACCATCCATGCAGGCAAAACGGGCATCAACGGTGACAACTCTCGTCAAAAGATAAAAATTTTCATTGCAAAGGGCCACACCAAGTTGTGACCCGTAGCAAACTGTGAGCCTAAACGTTGCTAAACGTTCAATCGCTGTATGTTGAAAAGCGAAACCACGTACCACATGATATTTGTCCATGAGCAAAAGGCAAAGAGCAATGGACAATGCAAAGAAAGGTTGGTTGGACGTATCTTCACATCGTCATATTCGGACACTCGCCCAGGGCTCGTTGGAAGGCCCCTGCGAACAAGTCCTGCATGGCGTGGTAGTGGAAGAAAATACCACCCAGGACAGCCAGGTGCCAGATATTGTGACTGCCACCGACATAATCGAAAAGACCTGGCTTCCAGCGCTCAGGAACTTTGGAAGCGTAGACACAGGCACCAATAAAATACACCATGATGCTCTTCATGACTGGTGCATAGAAATACATGGTCCATGAGAAGCCACGGGTATAAATAAGCTGCGCTATGGGCGAGAAACCAGTGAGTGCAAGGGTCACGTAGAAGCCTACGCGGGCCCATGCCATATCGTGGCGGTTGAAGGTTGGGTGCCAAGGTAGAATGATGCCACCGATGCCGAATGACATGGTAAGAAGAATGTATACCCACCGGGAGAAGGGCTCGCAATAGAAAGCAGTGTACTCGGTCGTCACAATCGAGGCAGCGACGAGCATAGAGATTCCAGTGTAGTCCACACAAGCGAATCGTTCCATCAATGGTTGCGAAGCAATGCTGTTCATAGTATGCCAAATAGTGCTGCAGACTAGACATTTACATGCAGCAAAGAAGAAGACGGCAGCGATTGTAACGTCGGCTTTGGAGCTCAAGTGGAAATTGGTGTGAAGCGGGTAGAAGTAAAAGGCGATGGCTAGGACGATGATGAGGCCGATCACATGGGACCAGATGTTGAACATTTCATTCGAGAAGGCGAAAATCGACGAGACACATTCCACCTTGGAAGTGGTGAATCGGTAGCCATTGAGGATGTGCGGGTTGACGCGCCATGGGTGAGGTAGTTCATCGTAGTTAATCAATCGCTTCTCCTTGGCTAGCCGGATAGCTTCCTCAATAGTATCTCGCAGAGTATCACGAGCATGGCGAGCACGCTCCATACCCTCGTCAACGATTTCTCGGGCGTGAACCAAGCCCGAATCGACCGCTTTCCACCCGTCATCTATAGTTCCGTAGATGCCGCGATCGCGAACAGCATGCACTTTGCTCTCAAGTTCGACCAAGAATGACTCCATTAACCGCACACCGGCTTGCGCCTTTTGCTCCAGAGTCTCCTTGGTCACCAGGGCTTCATTGTATCCATCCTCGAGGGTTTCGACCAGAATCTTGGCCCGCTTTTTGCCACTTCCCATCAACTCTCCCGAGGCGAGGGAGCATTGATCTCTCACGGCTTCCAGCGTAGCATAGCCTCGTTTCAGACTGGCATCAACTTGCACCATGTGGGATTTCCGGTATTGCTCGATCCAGTGCATCCGACGTTCCAGTTCGGATAAGAAGAGTTCGACCTAGGAGTTGATTAGACACACTGTTTCCCGGGTATATTTTCCACTAGTAATGCATGTACATACCCTGATAAATACTGCATCTGCATCTTGATAGTCGCACGAGAGTTTTCTAGAAGCATGGAACGAATGTCTGCGCCGATCACGGAGCATACCGGTATTCTCATCGGGGGTCGCAGTGGCAGAGGCAAATGCCTCTACTTCAGGAGACTGCGCCGTCATTGAAGAAGCGCCGCAAGCCATGGGGTGTAGTTGAGAGTTCAACTGTTCAGCCTCAGTCGAAGGCCATACGGAGTGGGATGGGCGATAAGCGTTGAGAGGCAAGGGTAGCGGAGAAGTACCGGGAGACCGGAGAAGAACCCAAGACACAACCTCGGGTTGAAACGAGCTTATTTAGTTGACAAGGAATGAGGGGCATATAGAGGAACTAGAAAGTACAAAAAAAAGGAGGGGGAATGTAAGATGGTAAAACCGAGCGCTGGGGGGGAAAAGGGCCAAGTTCCCAACCACACTAAGTCCTCGAGGCACACTGCGGCCCCGAACATCCTGATTGATCCCGCCTCTCCCGCAACATCTCTCGCCACCGATTCATCCCATTTCCACAATATGGCTATCAGTGAAATCGTCGCCGATGAGTCGCTCTTGCCGGTGCTTCAGACTAGCGCTGAGACTCTGGTGCAGTGTCAGCATCTTCTCACCATCCTGAACCCCGAGACCCAGCCCAACGATGCCGCCAAGCTCCGAGAATTATCTTTAGCCGCATCTAAACAACAGAAACTCCTCTTCGCACTGCTGGCCCAACTTCGCGGGCAGAATCGGGATGCCATTTTTCGGGTGCGCGACACCAAGCAATCAACTGCGGAGGCTCGACAAGAAATCGATCGGCTACATCTTCAGCTCCAGAACTTGTACTATGAACAGAGGCATCTGACAGGCGAGATTGCGGCTTGCGAGGCATATGAGTACGTGGATCTGATTTCCCACTCATAGCATCTCATCTTACTGTGGCGAAAAACTGACATATTTGCTGTAGTCACAAATACCTCTCCCTCCCCTTGATCCCGGTCGAAGAATTCTTGGAGCTTCATCCCGAACATCGCAATTCCAGCGAACATGACCTCATGATTGCTCGCATCGAACACGAGCATGTTGAACGAGAGAAGCTGGAGCAAGCGCGGCAGGAGCTTTTGAAGCGCAAGCAGGGCTTGATCGCAGAGAACAAGAAAAGGAAGAATGACCTTGCCAACCTCGACCAAGATCTCGAAAAGTTCATTGATGTATGTTATTCCGCTTGTCCAAGTCTGCTATCGATGAGTTTGCTAATAAGTTTTGTGACATTTAGGCTGCTAAGCCGATTCAAAAGATCTTCGAGAAGGAATACTAGACATTGCATGTGGAGGTACAGCGGTGGAGGCCTGGCCTCTCGACTGCTACATCGGATCGGCGTTACTTGTCAATATACCCTTGTTTTTTTGTGATTTAAGAGCACTCGGAGTCGATGATGGCATCCTAGACCCGATTTGGGACTCTCTTTAAAAAACGGCTAGATTGGATGCGAATTGCTTTGAGCCATTGAGTGCAGAGATAGCACCCCCAAATCAATTAATTAAGAGATCATGAAAATCAGTGCAGATCAAAAAAATATGTCGTATGGAATAGTTGACGGTTGCTTGTTGCTCCATGCGGCCACCTAGGTAGTCCTTGGCTTCTCCGCCCGCCCATCAACTCCCTCAATCAACAATCGACTTGATAACACTTCCTCCTTTGTTGCTCCGAATTGAGCACAAAGCATGTCCCGACCATGACGACCAAAACAGGAGACCAGGAGTCTCCTCAGGCGGCCTCTCAATGCGACCAACCCAGCGTCAAGCGCGCTCCGCCCCCAGAAACCCCGGCCGCCCTTCAAACGCGATTTCGAGTGATAGCTGCCTTTTGGGCCGTAATTATATTCCTCGGATTTCCAATATGGTGGAAGACAACATCAATCTACCGGGCGTCTCTCCCCATCGAGGAGATGGTGGATTGGGCTGATGGCAAGGTACGGCTTGCGGCATCGCCTTTGCTTTAGGGATTTGGTAGATGCTAATAATGGTTTGGACAGGCATGCCGTCCAGTCTTTCCATTGGATATTCACCTCGCGACACCTTCGATGCAATCTTTCGAAGCCCAGCACCTTCTCCGCACGACGCAGCATACTCTCGATGACCTCAACGAGTTCGCAGCTCATCACCTTCGGCTTAAGTTGACCAACGGCAGCACGACGGCAGTTCATAACGGCGAAGACAACCTGGAATATCCTGCGAAAGAGACGGCGGATACGGCACTGACCGTCCGATTACTGCCCCAGGATGGCCTAGCAGGTCCTTGGTCGGAGCTTCATGCAGCTGCGACACAGCTCGATATCTTCTACCCACCGAGCCAGGTCCCCGTACCTTCCTCCTCCAACTCCCCCTTTCCACGTTCATTGCGGCGGAGCTTCAGCAATTGTATGGCGAGGAAAAAGCTACTATAGCGCACATCTTGTCTGGAAATACCGCTGGGCTTGACTCGACCTCACCACAACTCGCCGAAGATATCGACCGAAGACTGCGCCGATCGATGAAATATGCTGAAACCTACCATCTCTCCTTTTCACTGTTTACCCCCGGATCTGAACCGTCCTCGTGGGACATTGAGGCTACGGTGAAAGAATATGTCTCCCCCTCCTACAGGCATTGTCTCCTATCAGCAATTTCACTGTCGACACGCAAGTACAGCTCTATGCGAACTTTGCACCCACCGCGCCGAAGCCCGAGTATGATGAATCCGAGGCTGCATGGACGTTGAAGAAAGAAGGTCTAAGTGCCTTCGTCAATGCTGCCGAGTGGCCACTGAACCCGAGCATTGGCAATGGCCCGACGATCAATTTCATTCTCTATGTCCCAGACCCTTCGCAGTCTCCACTCATTGTCAAGGAGAACCGTGCTTCTAGTTGGATAGTACCCCAATGGGGCGGAGTTTTCCTCCTTAACCCGCCGCTTTCCAACACCGGCGAGCAGAGTGCCCCGTCTAATCCTTCCCACCTCTCCCTGGACTCTTTAGGTCCTGCATTCATGACCTTCTCTCATCAACTCCTGACCCTCCTCGGCACTCCAAGCACCCCTGCCTCTCTTCCACTCCGTCTTCAGACATCTATCCGCATCCGCGCGGCCAGCTTGTTGCTCTCCGCCTCATCAACAATGGGCTCGCTTGCCCGTCTTACTAAGTCTTTACCCTCCATCCCTATCCCGGCAACCGTGGCTACGTCGGTCTCCACCACTCTCTCTCATTTGAGTGCCTCCTGTGTCCACTTGCGAGAGGGTCGCTTCGGCGCTGCACTTGCCAGCGCCCGAGTCGCAGAGACAGAAGCTGAGCGCAGCTTCTTCGAAAAGAGTATGGTGGGCCAGGTCTATTTCCCTGATGAGCACAAGGTGGCTGTCTATCTACCCCTTCTGGGACCAATTGGTGTCCCTCTTGTTGTTGGGTTGCTCAAAGAGCTCAAGAGAATTGCGGCTCGACGCAAGGCGAACGGGGCAGCATCGTAGAGTAATACGAAATTTATGTATTCTAGGAGTTATATACACCCATTGAACTATTTTTCCTTTTGAGGATATATCTACCCAGGGTCTTGAGTTACTGTTCGTAGATAGATATTGACCATGCACATAAAGCGGTGCACTATATTTGAATTAGATGGAGAATTAATCAGGTACCTCGAAACAAAGTGGAAAACAATACAATATGGATATCGTGGCACACAATCAATATGCCAGAACAACCAAATATCTAAGATGACTGAGCGCACGGTTCAATCCAACCCCGTAGGCTTCACATCCCTCAATTATCAACGCACAGGATCTCTGAACGGATTTTCCCGAGAATTATCATTAGTCGGATAAGGTGGCTTTCCCTTGCCATCATGAGGAGACCTAACAACCCGCATCAGGTCGCTAAACAGGGTATCTGGCCTAGCGGTATCACCAGGGTATGGACTTGGTCCCAACAAAGTGCGAGATTGCGAAAGCCACGATTCAGGCGGTGAATACACCGTGATGCTTTCCGTGCTCGGCTGACGCTGTCGTGGCGGAGTAAACGGAGCCGGATGCATAGGGTTTGGCATAGGGATAGGCGGCACATCCTTGTCTAGTCGAGCGGTTTGTCTTGGATAACCGGAGAATAGACTCCGCACTCTGCTGCCAGTGCGGTGGATCACAGTGCGAGTGGAACGTCCTCCTATTGAAGAGCGCTTGGCTCGCGGTGGGCATCGGAGGAAGTCTGTGCGGTACGAGGTATCGTCTTGGGGTATGGGGTTTGATATGCACAATCTTGCCCCGGAAGAAGAACGTTGGGACCAATTAGGCCCATTTTTGCCTTCTTGTATTTCACATTCGTCTTTTCGGGCACGGCGGAAACAGAAAGTTATTAAGAGGGCGGCAACAGCACCGAGGACCGCACCAGGGAAGAAGCCCGCTGCTAGAGCTCCAGCTGGGAAGGAGGGACACGAGGTTGATAGTGCTGGGCATGTAGTGGAGTTTGTGGACTTTTCGGATGAGGGAGATGGCACGGGTGTGATAGTTGCTTGGGAGATTGTTGAGGTTATAGCCGTTGTCGATGAGGAGTCTGTGTTGGTAGAGGAGCTAGAAACAGATGATGATGTTGTAGTGATAGAGGAGCTGGATAAAGCTTCTGTTGCAGTTGTGGAGGTTTTTTGGTTCAGGGAACAAGTGTTGTACCCCTGGCAGGTGTAGCCAAACGGGCAGCACGCATCGCCGCATTTGGGAAGGCTATCGCCCAGACGAGTTGTCTTGATGACACTCTCCGGGTAGATAGTAACATTCTGCAGCTGTACATCACATGTAATCGGCGAGATGTAGTCACAATCTTTACCGGCGGGACAACAGATGGAGGAGCTGCCTTGGTCTAGACTGATGCAGGTGGAGTCTGAAGGACAGCAGAAATCATTTGGGAGTTTCGTACCGCCGCAGCGAGCAAATGAGGAAGGACAAGCGTCTGAGCTTCTTGAGAGAAGACCGAAAGAGCTATATGCTAGTCCTGGTCGGATGCTTGCCATAAGAGTGAAGAGCAGCAAGACGGATGGCCGTGACCTCGTCATACTGGTGATGAGTATGTAAGTCGAGAAGAACAAAAGTATCTGACGGTCAAATCCAGAGGAGTTACGCCGAAAGATATAGACTGATAGCGTTCTTGACAGAATCTTCACGTATAACGCAAGCCAAGTTGTAAGTAGATAGACCAACAGAAGGAACTTTGACAGAGAAAGATTGGCAATAGCTAACAGACAAAGGCATTGACTTCCGTCTGAAACAAAAATCAGTCAAAAAGCCAGGATATATCACTATTGAAAGGAATCTGAGCATTGCCATCCTGTAGACAAGAGTCCTTGCAAGCGCCGCAGTCCTAAAATAGCACCCGGGCTGTTTCAGGGCGAGCGGCATGATTAAAATGGCAAATTATGGGCGCTAAGCCTAATCTTTGTTACAGTGCCACATCGGATTAGGGGATTGCAGAACGAGGATTGGACGAAGGCCAAGGGTGCAGAATAGTTCAAGGCGCTTAGAGAGATGAAGTAGATGTAGACGATGTGATTGGTTGTTGGGCCAGGGGTCTTACATAACCACACTAATCCCGATCGGGCAGAACGTCGGGAGGGAAATTCTTCGACAGCGAAGCTCTGTATGATTAACCCGACCATTCACAGTGCCGCTCGTCATGTTCAACCGATTCGCCCGGCCGCAAAGCGCTTTGCGCGCAGCCTCCTCTTTCTCTCCAGTGAGACTTACTTCCTCCGCCGCTTAATCCGTCTTGACTGACCGCGTTTTATCCAGAAACCTACCTCCGCCTTCTCACGCTTCCAGACTCGGGCTATCCATCGCATTCCCCAATTGCAGCACGACGCCTACTATAAGGAGAATGGTGTTCCGGAGTTCCTGTCGCCTGAGGCGTTTGACTTCTCATGGACCCAATACCAGAGTCTTCTCGTTAACAAACTCAACCTGTTGACACAAGGTGAGCCCGACACTCCGGCCCTGTGGAAAGATTGATTGATCCAATTCGGCCCCAATTCGATAATTGAGCGATATTGCACACGGAGAGACCAATTTAACATTCGAATTCAATAGATACCGTCGACGCAGATGCCAAACCAGGAGAATTGCTGGTCAAATACTCCAAGCGTCCGGAGATGGCCTCGGTGTTCAACTATGCTTCAATGGCCCACAACAACCACTTTTTCTTCAACTGCCTGGTGAGTAGCTATATAAGTCCCTTCATATATATATTCAATCCTGACCAGCCTGCCAAATATAGTCCCCCACAGCCACCAGCGTCCCCGAAAAGTTCGCCAAGGACATCGTCGACACCTGCTCCTCCGTCGAGTCCCTGAAGTTGGATTTCTTGGCCACAGCAAGCTCAATGTTCGGCCCCGGATTCGTGTGGCTCGCCAAGAACCTCGAGCGCGAAGGCATGATGCACATCTTCTGCACCTACAGCGCCGGCTCGCCCTACCCGGCCGCCCACTCCCGGCGGCAGCCCGTCGACATGGCCACCCACACCCCGGAGACACAGCTGGGCAACCAGTTCGCCGGTTCTATGGGAGCCCACGCCCAGAACCAGAAGAGCCTCGCTCCCGGTGCCGTCGACGTGCAGCCTATTCTCTGTGTTAACACGTGGGAGCACGCGTGGATGATGGACTACGGTATTGCCGGAAAGGACGAGTACCTCGAGCGCTGGTGGGATCGGATTAACTGGGATGTGGTCTTCGATAACTACAATGCTGTCGGCTCGATGAAGAACTCACGCAACTCCATCAACCGTCATCGGAGTATGAGCATGCTTTAAGTTGAAAATCATTTCTGTGTTTGGATAATCTGTATTATATACTATCATGTTTTATTTTTTTTTGGTCTCATTGCTCATTCTCACAGGCTTCTGATTGAGCATGTACAGCGATCCATCCAATAGAATCAAATTGGTGATGCTCTCTATTTCCCTTCCGCTGTCAAGAGTCGAAGAGATGCAAGTCTAACAAGTAGTCATATGTAGTGTGATGCAATTTATGCCCGAATACGAAAACTCCACTAATATACAATCCAATCTACAATTGACACTTCACTGCCCTTTACCCTCAACCTCCCGCATCCGCTTCTCAAAAGCCTCAATCATAACCCCAGCCATCTGCCCCTCAACAGCACTCATAAGAGTAGCATGCATCTGCGAACGAAACTCAAACCGCACTTCCAAATTGACCTTAGTCAACGGCCCACCCTGCGCCCCAGCAGGCGAAACCGGCACCAGCTCCCACCTCGTAGTCAGGTACTCGAAAAGGCCCTCATTCGCACCGGGAAAGAACCCGCTTAGCCCGGACGAAGAAGAGCCCTTACTAGCCTGGGCACCCTGTCCCTCTTGGCCACACTTGGCTCCGCTCTTAGCTTCCACCGTCAGCTTCTCGACGTCGCAGATCACGCGCGACGTGAACGTCTCGCTGAGCGGGCCGTAGCCGACGGTCAGGAACGCTTGTGTTGGGTATCCCGTTTCCGGATCGCGCGCTGTCACGGTCGAGGTGGTGAGGAATGGAAGGAATTGGCTGTAGGATTCGACCGAGGAGATCACTTTGTATAGCAGGGTTGGGTTGTAGGGGAGGTTGCGGGTGGCGGTTAGGACGCGGTGTGGAGATTGGTTATTGTTGCTGTTGGGGAGGAAGGAGGATAGGTCGGGCAGACCAAATGCTCGTGTGGTGGTTTTGGTGCCATTGCTTGGGAGTAGAGGTCGGCGCAGACTTGGCCGTTGTGTTGTGCTTATTGTCCTCGTGCTTGCCTTGAGTTGGTGGGGGACTGCGCACACATTCTGGCGTTGGGAGGGTAGAGTTGCGCGACTTAGAAGTCGCGAGGTGCGGAAGGGTTGCATTTAGGAGGGTGATATAAAAAAGATCTATACGGCTTGGTGCTTGGAGTGTAGTGGTTCCTGGTAGACCAAAAAAAGCTCCGGTTCCGCGGAGCGGGATCTGCAGCCGCCTCGGCAGGATCAGTGGATGCATACTCCGTACATACTATGGATTTGGTTCGATTTTATACTCTGTAGACCTTCCTTTTAATTGAAAATATAATGGCCTTACGAGATATGTATTCGACATGGTCTTGTATATTTCACATTCTCATTGTTGATAGCTCTCATGATCTATCGACGATGACCCAGGAGGATAAGCGCCGAAATCATACGGAATTGCTGGACCACCAGAGTACCAAATGTCGTTATTGGTGGCCATTTCGACTCCTGAGATGTGACTGTCGTACAGGTTCTGGAAATAGAGAATTAGTTATAGTTATGTTAAGCATGGCTGGGATCTTACCCAGTCGAGTTGAGCGGGTATATCAAGCATGTCTTCAATGACCCCCAGGGAGTTATATGCCGTCTGGCCGGGGTTGGGTATTGCGGACTGCAATTCGCTAATATTGGATGTGTATGTTGAGTATTGTTGATCAAAGACTGATGCACTGGTGGATTGGGTTAAGATATCATCTGGGTAATATGGTCAGCATGATATTGCGAGAAGAAAAAAGTAATACTTACTATCCATGGGCGCCATTGATTGCCCAGCAGTCGAACTGGAAGATTGAGAGTCACCTTTCTTCACCCGTTTGAGCATGATAGTCAAAGCATTCACTGCTCGCTGTGTGTCGACAGACCGGTGACGGGATTCCATGAATATGCGATGGGTACTTTCCAGAAGAAGCAAGAAGTCTGCTCGCTCTCGAGGTCCGAGGCGTGAAGCATCACCACGATCTGCATCCTGGGACATCTCGAGGCAAAGAATCATTGCCGAGAGTATAAAGGAATTTTGGAGGGAGTTGAGGAAGTATCGCGCTGCGTGCAACTGACCGCCGGGCATGAACTCGGTCCAGATCTCTGTGTTGTATTGAAGCACTTGCCGAGCTGCGGCCAGGCAGATTGATCGCGAGTAAGCAAATTTGGTATTGGTTTCAGCGATATAGCGGCGATGTAGGACAAGACGTGCTATTTGATACAAGAGCTCCAAGGCGAAGCGCCGCGTGGTCAATTCTGCTGGGTCTGCGATACACTGCGTCATTGGTCGAACTTTCAAGAACGAGGGTATCATATCATGCGCAGTCTCCAAACGACGGTCAATTTCCAAGATCTCATCGTAGGATGAGCGCTCTTGAGAGAATGCCAGGTCTGTTATTTGACCAAAGACACTCATAACGTGAGACTTGGCCCTCATGTACGAGCAATCTGTTCCTTCACTATCTGGCCTCCCGGGTGGCAATTGAACGGAACTCTCATCGAAGTCCGTGTCCCACAAGTTAGAAGGTAACTCTGTGTCATATTGCCAAGGCTGGATTGTTCGAGGGACACCGACTTGGAATGAGACTATGGTGTCAAGCTGAACGAGCAGGGCCCAGAGACGCCGGCGCATTTCCCCATCCATGGCAGATAACATTGGGTAATGACGCGGATCACGATGATAGCCCATGCGCATAGCCAGGCGAATAGTAATCCCAAGCAAATAGGACATTCCAATCTGCGCATCTCGGGTGCGGTAGAACTCGGTGAGTGAGTAGAGTAATAGTGCTTCTCCTTTGTATCGCCCTGGGGTGATGTAGTTTGCTTGGATAAGACACTGCGATGACCTTTTCCGGAATATGGCCCATGAAGTGATAGAGTCATCCATGGTAGAAGGTGACGGCTCTGAGCCTCGCTGATGTAGAGAGACGGACAAAGCCATGATCGAGTATAAGAGGGAAATCCAAGTGAATGATTTATCTGCTGGGTGTAGCCAGAACTCCTCGTACTCTTTCTGGTACGTGGGGACATGGATAACCACTGCTTGCTTATCAGTACTCGGTGCTTGTTGTTTTCCTTGAGGAATCTCATACCTCGTGCCGGTTCAGATGTCTTGAGGAACCGAGAGACCAAGCGGTCGGCTATTGACCGTGGAGGGATGTCCATAAGCATCTCCTCTTTGCTCACCGGACGACTATTGCCAAGCAGTAGGACCGGTGACGATGCATCATAAGGGTCACTCTCGACGCCTTCATCGTTGGAATATTCTCCGTCCTCATCTATGCACTCTTTGACATCATTAATCTTCAAATTTGAGAACCTGTCAACACAATCATTTCAACGCACAGCAATAACCAGATAATACGGACCTCTTCCAGAATAGCGCGCCAATTTGCACTGTCAATATAACTAGTTCCCTCATTTTTGACGACCAGCGTGCCCGTGTCAACCGGAGTCAACGCAGCGCCAAGTAAGCCCATCGCGCCAGCATCCCGATTCTCCGATTGCACCGGATTGGAATCAATATTGAGATCAGACCTGTGCTTCTGTGCTAGAGACATCACTAGATTCTCGAGATGGTGCAGGCGGTCCTGGACCAGAGTCGGGCTCGAGCGCCCATGCTGGGCTTTGGCTCGTGGTCCGCGCCCGACATAGGTACATGATGTGGCTTCGCCTCGTTTCTTGCAATTATTACAAGGGTGGTTGCGGCAGCATTTCAATCTGTAGTAGATCAATATCTGCAGATATAGGTATGTTGTATGCACGTCATGCGTTGAACTTGAGCTTACTTTCGGTACCTGCACGCCGTGCACGAAAATTGCACCCGTGTTCGCTTTTTGGGGGCGGATGTCTCTGCGCCAGGGTCCGATGGTTCGTTCATTATTGTTTAATGGTTATTGCGATCAGCAAATGAGGAAATACGAACATCCAGGTAGAAAAAAAGGGAAAAATAAGTGGATTCGCTAGCCCGTGGGGGGATCTACACGCCCCAGAGCTTTTTGTCCTTCGATTCTATCAGGAATAGCCCAGATACCTGGTTTATTTGTGCGTTTCATATTTAATGGATCTCAGCCTTCAAGGCCACTACTCCCCCAGGCCCAATAATCTGCACCTTTGTTCCCTCGCCGTCCTCAAGCACAATCCGATACTCATCCCCGGCATATAATGGACTCGTTGCCCGGTAAGAGATGCGCTCAGGAACAACCAAGGTAGAATCGGTGGCATTCTGGCGAGTGTCACGCCAGAGATCAAGAATGCAGATCAGATTCAACGGACCATGTACTACAATATCCTTGTGTCCTTCTACATCCCGCGCCCAGGGCAGTGAGTAGTGGATCTTATGGGGGTTGAAAGTCAGAGCAGAGAAGCGGAAAAGCGACACCGGTGTTTGCACCAGTGTTCGCGTATGGACGTTGCCCTCGGTGGAAATGGCGAACGAGGTAGGATTTGGGGTCACAATATGGGACGTTGGGGACGGAGGGGGGCTGGATGGCGTTGACGCAGATGGAACAGGTAGAGCTTTGCGGAACACCCAATTGCTATGTGAATGATGTTGTCAGTACTTTGGACTGCGAGATTTGAGCAGGGAAGCCGGACCGTCGGTCAATAATTGACACGCCGTGCTCGTTGGCGAATTCTTTCTCGACTCCAACAACAATCATGTCCTCGCCGGTCTTTTTTACAACCTTGGCCTCCGCACTAAGTACCCGTGTTGTCTCCTGCACCTGCTGTCCTACCCGTAACAGATTGGGTTTCCCATCCACACGGGGCCACAGCACCTCGCCGCCGGCCCACATGCGCCGCGTGAAAGGCACGTCGGGATTATACGACACATCGGTTCCATCCGCCCCAAGTTCACTTTCCAGGAACGCGGGTGTGAAATACGCGAGGTGATAGCCCGGCGGCACAGGTACTGCGGATTGCGGGGCGGGAGCGCCATTGGATAGGGAGGGGGCACCGGGGAAGAGAGTCGGGCGATTGAGGGTGAGCGTGAGAAGCTGGAGCTGGTTTGCATCTATCGTTTGCGAGCGGGTTTGTGGCCCTAGGGATTGGAAGCGCGACAAGAAGGCCGAGGCTACCGAGGAAGCATCTGAGCGGAGACGCTGAGAGATGGTGAAACTGCGTATTGCGCCTGGTCGGGTTCGCGCCAGTACGCGGGGGCGAAGGTGTGTGAGTAAGGACAAATTTGAAGACATGATGGGTTGAGGAGAGTGGTAAAAACAAAAGCCGAGAAAGAAATAAACAGCGGGGATCTCCAAATGTATGCGGGGAAGCCGATTTGCTCCCGAGTCGGCTTTAATTTTATACTTGACCTCGTAGAATTATATTGGACAAGGCCTTTTCATGTCATCTCAGCAGTCTTTTTAGGAGTCTTCATTAATGTATTTCCTATGAATATCGCCTCCTTCTTAGGTACACGGAAAAAGGCGCAAAGAGCTAATTTAATAAACGGCTTTTCTATGTATAAACTTGGATTACTAGGACTTTATAATTCTCACCACGCCAAACGGATCATGGCGCCTGGGAGGATTACTGGATTCCCCTATCCTGGTGAGATTTGATTGAAGTCAAATAACCTATATAGTTCTCATATACTATCTTAAGCTTGTATATATCAGACTATATATTGTACCGTGAGAGGCACTATTACTACGATGAATAATCCACCCCGGCGGCCCCGGGAGAGACGCCCGCGGACGGATGAATTCGTGCGTTGTACTTCTATGAGGTTTTTGATTTTGAAGTTTTGATTATAAATCGCCTATAAATAGCATTGTAAGCTTGGAATGGAATATAAATAACCCAACTGTCAGGGCTGATTTTAGACATTCATATTTCCTTCATCCTTCAATAACCATCTATCATGGCGAGCATCAAAATTGTCTGGGGCGGAGCCTCAATCACAGATCAAGCCGCCTATCCAACTCTTGAGTCCATCAGCGAGGTCCTCGATATTCTGCATGCCAAAGGCGTCAAAAGCATCGATACTGCCAAGATCTACAGTAACTCCGAGGAGCTATTGGGAAAACTTCACGCCGATTCCCGCTTTGCCATTGATTCGAAATTCCCTGGCGGGTTTGGACCTGAGCCTTCCACCCCAGAGGCTCTTGCTACAAGCTTGGATGAGAGTTTGACCCTTCTCCAAACTAATCAGGTGAGCTTCTTTCGTAATCTGAGGCCGCAAAGACCCAATCTCTAATCCTATTCTAGCTCGACATCTACTACATACATGCTCCCGAACGCAGAAGCTCATTGGAAGACCTGCTGGCTAGTATCAACTCTGCGCACAAGGCTGGAAAGTTCAAGCGCTTTGGGCTGTCCAACTATTTGGCCGAGGAGGTTGAAGAGGTGGTCCGCATCTGCCGCGAAAAGAATTATGTTGTGCCAAGTGTCTACCAAGGCAGCTATTCCGCTGTTGCACGCCGAGCAGAGAAAGAGATCTTTCCCACACTGCGGAAACACAACATCTCCTTCTATGCCTATTCGCCCATCGCAGGAGGATTCCTGACTAAGGATGTCGCGACGTTGGTCTCCGGTGGGCAGGGTCGATGGGATCCAAAGACACCGATTGGTGGAATCTACAATGCGCTTTTCAACAAGCCGAGCATGCTGGAGGGCTTGGAAAAGTGGGAGAAGATATCCAAGGAATTTGGTATCTCCAAGGCCGAATTGGCATATCGGTGGGTGGCGCATAACTCCGGCCTCAAAGCAGAACTTGGAGATGCTGTGGTTATTGGGTCGCGTAATGTTGAGCAGCTCAATCAGACACTTGCTGCAATTAGCAAGGGTCCGCTCAGTGCAGAAATAGCTGCACAGATTGAGCAGGTATGGAAGATTGTCGAGGCTGATTCGCCTTTGGACAACTTCAACTAGTATGACAAGTAGAACGCTAAGAGAAGGAAATTGCAGACTAAGCCCACAATGAGAGAAAAGATTTGTAATCACCATGAATGTAGTTACCTTGAAAGAAGAATAAATCCAGGATCTTTAAGTGCAATATTAGAGCATGTCTAAGGTTATTACAGCTTCTTAAAATATATATAAGAAGACCATCGAAGTAGCATGATAAGGTCGCGTAAGTGGTCTACTATTCTTGTTGTAGAAATATTAAGAAAAGACGTTGAAAGAGTTATTGTGGGTCAGAAGTGTGAATAGCTTCAAATAATCCCCAAGGAGGAAAGAAAAAAAAAGGCCCCAGAGGTTCTTCAACAGCAGTTTCCTCATTTGCATAAGACTGACATCACCCTGATCGAGGAACAGGGCGCATCCCATCTGAGCCATGGGGGTTGGGGGTTGGGGGTTATAATATCTGCCTTGACCTTTCCATTTATACTCACTTTTTTATCGTTCCTTCCTTAGGCAGAAACCCAACGCTCTTGCCTGAGGGCAGTCCCATCCTGCCAGTTTCGGATCGTACCTTCCCATAGTTGCCGTGCCTTCTATGACTCGTGATTTTCTACTGAGTTCCACGTCATGCATGGCCTACTAAGCTTTCTGGGTGACCCGAGGCCAGGAAAAGAATATCAGGCAAGATAATTATCCATGGTTCCAACATTTATACATATCGTTTTGCCGCCTTCGTATACGTCTAAAAAGACGTATAGAAACATATGTAACGCCCCCGGGGTCATCTTGGGCAAAATAGATCAGATTACGTTAGTCTTACAGCGGAGAACACTGACTATTCTTGTATGTCCTACGTGTAAACTCAGTCCAGTGATACCAGGTCAACCCCAATGGGCGTATATAGATTGTTGAATTGAAGGCTGTCGAGGGTATCTTAAGGCGAATGAGGCTACGAATGAGGCCATAGGACCGAAAAATGTTACAGATATAACGGGACAAGGCAAAGGTGACACACAAGACGAGACAAGTCCAAGAAAACCAGACGGATCAAAGGCGAACCTGACCACCAGTCAACCGTTCCCAATCCCTCTGTCCGAAGGGGACATATGTATCACCCTGGAGCCAGTACAGTCGGTCCTTCTTCGATACAAGAGCTGGATCCACGCCTTCGGTACGCAGAATATGCTTCTGTTGCTTGTTATTACCGGTTGACTGCGTCAGGGGCGTGACCCGCAAGAACAGCGGAGCCGCAAACCGGGGCAGGTTCTTGAGAGTGTGCGCAGCTAGAGTATCAAGCACCTCGCGCGAGGGTTCCAGTGCGGTATCAGAGAGGTTACTGCTTGCTACCTGCTGGTTGAATAGGATGGCTGCACATCCGGCACGGCCATCGTGATTGGGAAGAGCCACGCCGTAAACGTTGGCTTCGTGCACATCAGGATGCGCGCCCAGAACCTCGGAAACCTCGCTGGTGGATACATTCTCGCTCTTCCACCGGAAGGTATCACCCAGTCGATCCGAGAAGAACCAGCGGCCCTCTTTGTCCCATCGAACCATGTCACCGGTCCGGAAATAGGCATCGCCCTTCTTAAGTACATCGCGGATAATCTTGCCTTCTGTCGCCTTCTTGTTTCCGAAGTAGCCCTGGAAATTGGCAGTGGGATCCGCTGCATTGAGGATGAACAGCAACTCACCGGGATCACCCCGGGGGACATTCTTGCAGAGACCAGTCTTGGGGTCACGCCACGGTTCCTCGGTCTCGTGGTCAACTTCCACTATGGCAGAGCCACGACCAAGGACAATATCTCCCAAAGCACCGTTTCGGCCGATGGCACCCGCGGAGAAGCCGTTCGTCGAAAGGTTCCATGAGCCCGTAGTGCCTTCGGTAGCGGCGTAGAACTCGGCGATTGTGGGGATGTTAAAACGCTCTTTGAAGCGGTTCCAGATATCGGGACGCAGTCCATTTCCAAATGCCAGGCGGATATTGTGCTTCTTGTCAAGGTCTTCGCCGGTGACCGGGTCAATTGCAGGTGGCACTCCCAGTAGATAACGGAGTGTTTCGCCCACATACTGGATAATTGTCGCATCGTTCTCGCGAGCCTCCTTGATGAAGTTGCGCGCAGAGAACTTCCGGCCAATGATTATGGCGGATCCGCTCATCAAGCAGGTTATGAACCCAAGTATCGAAGCGGAACTATGGTAAAGAGGCATGCACTACAAGAGGTTAGCTTGGGCAGTAACATTTATAAGTTTGGACCTTACCGTGAAGAATCTGTCAGAGGAAGTAATGCTCAACCAATCTTTGACGAACAAACTACCAGACCAGCACTTTTTCCAACTTACAATAGCGGGCTTCGGAAGCCCGGTGGTGCCACTTGTGTAAATCAAGATGGCCATATCGCGAGGAATCAAGCCACTACGGGCCTTGTCATCCTCTCGCGTAGGCTCCATCCCCAAAATCTGTGCTTCCACCTCCGGGGTATGAAACACGATCTCAACCGGTCCCTTGCCATCACGGAAGGTCGGGGATGTCAATACCTGCTCCTGCTCCGCCGGGAAGCAGTGACGAACTTCTTCGTCGACCACCAAAAGCCTTGCGGTGGACGTTCGAATGGAGTGGGTGAGCGGCTTGCCAGACAAGTTATAGTTGATAAATGCCGGGACTGCTCCAATACTCCAAAGTCCCAACAGCATGAATATGAAGGTGGAAGAGTTCATGAAGTCGATTGCAACAATCTCCTTGCTCTTAATGCCGTGGACTTTCTTGAACCATGCCCCGTAGCGAAGAACCATGATATAGCCTTCGTAGAACGTCGTTGTTCGTCCATTGTACACAATAAAATCGTTTCCTGCAGTTTTAGGATCGAGTGCGTAGGCTTCAAGTGTGTAGAAGAGGTTCAAGCGGTCGCCACGTTCGGCAATGCGGGACTTCGCGGACATCTTCAGCAACCCCCTGAGGAGATTCAAATCGTAGGAAACCGACCATCTTGCGTTGAGATATGCGAGTGTCGTTGCTGCGGCAGGGAGTGCAAGACTCAAGGGAATATCTGCACAAAGAGACCGCTTGTTAGCCATGCATTCAGTCCCGCCATGGGGTATGACCTACCGGACAAAGATGGCAGCGGCATTATGACCAAGATATTCAAGGATCAAGCTCAAGTGGATATGATCTAGGAGTGTGATCGATAGTATGCTCAAGTAATGTACTCGAGGGATATGATATTTAGGTATCACGGCTTTGAATGTAGCTCTGAAAGGAAGAGCAGATGAGGTGTTATAGGAACTCCTTGACTGATACCTCGGCTTCGCTGCCTTTTATTGGATCACAGATCAAAAGCAATATTGGTTGACTTCATCTAATGGATCCGGTGAGAATGAGATATGTCCGGAGTAGGAGAGATCGAAACGGGCCTCGGCACGGACCTCGGGATGTGCCGATCCGCTGACGACATGCAACATTGTGCAACGTACTCCGGATTCCGTACTCGCCACATATGTACACGTTGTACGACAGTTGTTTCTTTCAATAATGATTCAATTTTTCATTCTATAGCTTGTTCTGACAATGTTCTGACTCTTCTGTATACAAACGGGCTCGGCTAATAGTTGCCGGAGAGTAAGGCTAGTTTGCATGTCCAGTTGACCAGTGGCACCGGGATGGCTATTTTTACTTGCAAGGGCTTCTTCACTGGTACATCCTCATACCCGTCTTCCATGAACTTACCCAATGCATCCAAGCCCCGCTCCAGGACCTCGGTTTCATTGACATACCCAATGCGAACATAACCCTTGAAGTCTTCTCCGACTCCAAAGCAAAGGCTTCCCGGCACAAGCATCACACCGGTCCGCTCCTGAAGCATCTCGCAGAAAGCGACATCGTCTACGGGTTTCCCCATCTTGTTAAAGCGCACAAATGCAGTGGTACCGGCTTGTGGCTTAATCCACTCACACGCCCAGCGATGAGCATCGATGAACTTCTCTAGAATAGAGAGATTAGTCCGCGCTAGATCGATATTTCGTTTCAGAAGATTGTGGATGCAATCCGGTGCTAATGCAAAACTAGCAATTGCCTCGTCAATTTGCCCAACCGAGATAGTTGTATAATCGCGCGTGTTAGCAACAGATTCAATGATCGAGCTATCCCGCGACGCAACCCAGCCTACCCGCAAACCCGCCAGGCTATAGGCTTTGGAAACGGATCCTGTCACCACCGTGCGTTCGTATCCCATAGAAAGAAGTGTGGGTGGGAACCTCGGATCCGCGGGACTGATGTTGTGGAAAAGTGGGCGATAGACCTCATCGGAGTGGATGATGATGGATTTCTCGCGGGCAATATCGACCAATTGCTGGAGAGTCTGGCGCGGGATGATGGCTCCAGTTGGGTTTTGCGGGTTGCTATGACGAGAATGATGGTCAGGAAAAAAACGCACCCCTTGCATGATTGTGATAAGAGTTAGGAAATCCATACTTTATGATGATTAACTTCGTGTTGGGTCGGATAAGGCCTTTCAGCTCTTCAATGTCCAGCTGCCATCCATCGGCCTCTTTGGACTTCCACAGGCTGACTTCGGCCCCCACTGATGCAGGGACGGAGAACAGTTGTTGATATGTTGGATAGTGGCAAATTACATGGTCTCCTGGGCCAACCAACGTATACAACAGCAAGAAGTTCGCTTGGATTGCGCCAGCGGTGATCAAGATATTTTCCTTCGGCAACTGCGTCGGTGCCCTTACCGAGTACAGATTCGCCAGTGTATTTCGTAGTTTATCGGAGCCACGGATCGCCCCATATGTGAGTTTGGTGGATTGAAGCTGGGCTAAAGGGTTGGACTCCTTGTCATCGGAGAGCGCGCGGAGATCGTCGACGGAGATGGATGCACAGCAGGTCTCGGCGGTATTATATTTCGCAGTGGTCTCATACTTGTCCATCCACTGCAGAACGGTTAACAAAACACATCTGTACGACAGAGGGAGCAGACAAGTACCACCCAGCCATGGGGTAATGCGGGGAGGTACCTGTTCAACTGCGAAGGCCTCAATCTTCACCATGGTTTATAATAGTGGGAATTACCGAGCGAAGTAGTTATAATCAACTCTCTTTGCCTAGGGACGTTCCAATGTTCGGCTGAATGGGTGATAACTTGTTCCCTTATGCTACCGCCGCTTTACCTATGAGCTGTATCTGTGTTATCACGTGATGGATCGCGTTCCTCCTTAGCTTAGATTGATTAATATGTCGAGGTCGTTCATCAGGCGTTAGCTTGTTCGTGCTTTGAATTTGTTCTAGGTCTAAATTCATTTTCAGGTTGTTCTCACACGCCCTACATTGTGCTATATCAGAATGTCATCGATAGTTCAAGTATTGGAAAATGACCTCAACTGAATTTTATAACTAGGATTTCCAAGAGCTTGGATATTTTCCCGTACAAGCCTGGTCCACGTGGCGGGCGAAGTCGCTGCTTCACTCTGCATGAAGGTTCCACATGTATTAATGAGGAACAGGAGGGAGAAACAGTACTGGAAATGTATTGGCTATCTGAAAACTGGAGAAGCTATCTAAGTCCTGGGCAGATACCCCCAACATGTATGTATATAGCACCGAACAAAAAATTCTATTACTAAAGAAAACAAGCCACATGCAGGGACTAACACACTTTCTATTTCGGCAAGCAAAATATAAAATGCTTAATAAAATTCGAGCCTATCCATACATTCATACTCACCCAAGCAATTAAGCCAGTATGCCGAAAAGAAGATGTACTAGGACATCCTCTACGATGACAAGGCATGAAATTGAAGGCTGAAGCTAATATTCCTTCCCTTGTCATCTTTGCCTTACATCTCACTTACACCACATCTGTCGTGGAGTAATGCCATGGCAGTTTGTCGCGTTCTCCCACGTTTCTTCACCTCCATCCGCCCGTCGAACCATTTCAACAATATCCTCACTAACATTTATAGTCCCAGCTAAGTAATGTAAAGCGGTATTGCCGTCGATATCCTCTGCCCTGACATCAATCCTTCCCCATTCCAATAAAAGCCGAATAGTTGCATTTTGTGCCTGTTGCTGGGAATCCGTGTTTTTTTTAAACTAGACCTAAAAAGTTTGTTTCAAGAGGTATACATCTGCTCCTCTTCGGAGATATCTCATGTGAACGTATTGCTCTCAAGAGGATCTCAAAAGAGGATTTCCAAGATCCATGATGAGATACCCTGTTGTGAAGAAACTACACGCGGCCTTGTCATTTTGGTAGTCTTCTGTTTGATACCGACTATATATACTCAAATCCTCCGTTCAAAAAACGATTGGATGATCCCTACATTGTTCGCCTCGTATTCCCTTAGCTCAACCGTGCCATCATCTTTCAGAAACGTGTTGGGTTGCACGAACTTCCACATCGGCTCCGGGTTCGAGACCACAATTTGCCTCCAAATCTCGTATTCACCATCAACGGCACTCAAATCCTCATAGAAGGGGCGGCATGCATCAACATCGGCCGTAGAGTGCCATATATGGATCCTGCACAGCATACGCCCAATCGAGGGTTTGCCGTGGGAGACGACTTTAGAGCGGTCGACGTGAATGAAGAGCCTTTTGGCAATGGGGTCGTGCTCTACCCACAGCGTACCATCTCCGTCCTGGAGAATATGTTTGAATATCGCAAATTGGGCCTTACACAGGAGAAAAAGGTGGATCAAACGTCAGCCCTAGTGGAGGTTCTGTCGGCGCATCACCGTTCAAACTCACCTGGTCATGATCACCTCCCCAGACCTGGTCTTCGACCTTGAAGCTATGAAGTGCTCGAAGGCCCACTCCGATTTGGACGTATGTGTAATATATGACTGATCGATATTAGCATATTCCGCTGCTATGCTACCGAGACACTCACGGTCATCTGCTGTCGGGGTACTATTCTGATCATATCTAAACAGGACGAGAATATCCCTGTTGTCAGCCAGATAGTTCGCGACTAGGAAAGCTCTGCACTCTTCCACCGTCGGGGCCAATTTTCCAAACACACTATTCCACGTCTCTCCCGGTCCATACCAAGTCTGTACGGGCCGGCCTGTGACTGGACTAATCGGCGGGTTCTTATGATCAAAGTTGAAGTTACCTGCGGCAGTCTCGGCTAGCAGTTTTCCAGTTCCGTGGCCAATAAGTTCATGTATGGCTGTCTCGATGAAGCGCAAGATATGGGCACACCGCATGTACGCCTTTGCCTCTGGGCTGTGAACATAATAGCATGGACGTCCGGGACTGCTGTTGAGGCTCATTCGATTGCCGAAAACTAGATTTTCATGATCTATCAAACAATGATTCCAACGTACACACAATACAACAATACAATTCTTGATCAACTTTGCGTGTATACGACAACTACAAGATTCAATGAGAATCGTCTCCCTTTTGAATAAGCAGGACACTGATCTACGCGCCGCTTACAATCTTCACTCCGAAACCGACTTTCTTCATTCTGATCTTCCACGTACGCTACCTGGCTTCCAAATTTATTTCGTCAACCACTTAACGGTTATTCTTTCTCTCTGCATTTGAGCACGCCAACTTCTTCTCCGAATGCCAATGCTAACCACATCGACCATTGCTGGTCTTTTAGCATGCTAAGGGAGAAGGATCGAGGCTTGCAACGTTTGCAAAGTGGTCAGCTATATTAACTGGCTGCTTCCCACTTTACAACTTGCTTCTTCTTTCTCCACATCTTAGTTATTTCGAATTGAATGCACTCTTCTCCTTTGAAAGACCTGGCACGTTACAGACCGCATGGATCTTGCCGCCGGCTCGATCAATCCAGAACTAGCTACCCTTGAAGCTAGTAACGACGAAGGATTTGATTACGAGCTGCCATTGCCAGTTTTTTAGTATCTAGGGACTAAATGGATTTTTTTCGCAGGGGTTATGTCACGATCCATATGGATGATCGCTATTATCATTATGCTTCATATTTGCTTGCTCGCTCGCTATTTACATAGTCTACTAGTTTGCATTCCATGGATTGTTTGTTAGATAACTAAGCGAGAAGGTTGGTTATTTGTATCGTTTACAAAGGGACAGCTATATCAACTAGCTGATTCAACTTTGCACTTGCTTGCACTCCTTAACTTAATAGACCTAGTATATCACAGCTTAACTTTTCTACTGGGTGCCCAGGTGACTTAGGTAAATTATGTAACCCTAAAAAGTCACAAAGGTTAGCACAACTATGTTCCAAGGTTTTATCTTATGTGGCCCTCTTCATAGATAGGGACTATAGGTCAACACCGAATTCTTCCAAATTGGATCAATTGACCTATGTACTCGATCAGGTTTTTTCAAGACTTCTCCATTCCAGATAGCAAAGGTAATCGGAGCTGCAAGGCTGTACATTACGTCGCTAAACCTGACGCCGCTCCTATTTAGGCTTCGGACCTCAGCGCTCATTTGTCCTAAAGTCTTCTCTGCCTCTTGTGTGGCCCTTCTTTAACCAGGCGCTTCTTCAGCCATAACTCTTCTCTACATCTTCGACTTTTTACTGCATCTTCGGCTCTTTACTGCTTGCATCTTCGACTTTTTACTACATCTTCGGCTCTTTACTACATCGACTCTTTACTACATCGACTCTTTACTACATCTTCGTCACGTCACCGACTCCTGTCCTTTTCGGATCTACTTTCTTATGATAGCCTCCAGACATATCCATAATGTCTGAATCTTCAGTCGCATCCTCGACCTTCAGTAGGGCTAGTGCCCACGCGCTCAGCTTCTCTTCTGCATCGTCCGCTTCCTCTCCATTCAGTGGAGCTTCCCGTGTCGACCACAACGGCTTCCTCAGCTCCTCTCACCGTGCGGGTGGGCCAGTCTTAGCTTCTCTCCCAGCGTTAACGACAGAGAACACGTTTACCGATAGCGCAGTACTGATCCACGCGCGCGCTGAAATAATCCTGGATAATCTCGAGCTCGAGTACTCCGTTGTGATTCTAAAGGGCCGCATATCAAAAGTTGACCCTGAGCCTGGGCCGATCCCTACCCTCATTGTCCTCATGCCGGACGTCCTACAACCTGTACTCTGGTATGAAGCTGCTAAGAAGATTCATCGCGAGTTAGAGCCCCATATACCTCGAATCTCAGTCGAGATTATCGAAGAGAAGCTTTACGACGGAATATACTGCTTCCCCGTTGAGCAAACCCACTCCATTTACCGCAAATGGAGGACAATCGCCGAGACCATACTAATGAATAGGAGTCTGAATATCCAAGAGTGGACTAGCATCGAATGCTGGCGATACGGGACCAATCCCGATAGGCGTCTTAACCCTGTTACTATAATAGTGGAGGTTGATAGGAGATCTACCGAGTCTTTTATCACCGCAAGCCAGATCATTCGGGGTATGCTTGCGTACTATCAGGAATCTAGCGTCGATATCCTGTTCATGAAGGACGGAAAACAGTCCCTGATGGAAAATCCCATTCTGAATTCCGAGACTTGCAGTGGAGCCGTCTATCCTGGTGTCAGCATCGGTATCCACGGTAGTTCGGCTGGAACATCTACACTAGGTGGTATTATCCAACTACGGTTGCCTAACGAATCCGAATGGCGTACCTATGGATTAACTTGTTTTCACGCCGTTTGGCCCCCAGAAGGGAAGCGCTCGCAACAGATGTTGCAAAGAGGAGCAAATACCGGTAAGTGAAGATCCTCTATATATGACTTCCTAGCTAATATGGCGATTATAGCACTTGCATACTGGGAGTATAACCCTCTCAAACTCAAACCGTCCAGCGACATTGCCCAACAGGTATTGAAAGTTGACCACCCATCTTTCAGAGATATTCAGCATACCCTCACCATAATAGACAGTGATATCAACAGCTCGAAAACCGAAGAGTTCCTCGACTTTGAAGCGACTCAGAAAGCAATTGATAAGGGAGAGGACTTGTGGATTCCGGAATCTGCCGCCAGGCGCTATCGGTCAATAGCCAGACATATCAGATCCCTTGAAGCTACGCGCCAACCATTTGCGGCAATGCTCGATAACGGAACTTACTACCTGGGGTATGTTGCTGCTGGAAGCGGCTTATACAGGATCCAACAGAATGATCTAGGCCAGCCAATTTCTATGGACTGGGCCTTGATAAAAATCACGTCCGGTCGAATACAGGCACAGTTAAATGGCGACGAGATCGACGGTAATCGGGTAGGACTACATGCTTATTCTTCGATTCCATGGCTGATATATGTTCCTTTTAGCCTTTCCATTCCGGTGCCGCTAATTTTACCCCTCCCGCTGAATTCATCTTCAACCCTGGACTACAGGTTTATTCCAGAATGAAACTCTATAAGACCGGTCGATCGACAGGAACCACCTACGCTTATTACAATGGGCTCGTGTCAGTAGATATCTGTCTGCAGAAAACGGCGCATGGTGTTCAAAAAGTCTTCACATGGGAACACACAGTGACGGAACCAATTTCTCATGCATTCGCAGAGCCGGGCGATTCTGGCTCATGGGTGTATACGCCTGCCGGAGAGGTCTTCGGGGTGTTGCACAGCAGAGATATGCGCAAGGGCACAATGAGGATAGCCTCCATAGTTGATATCTTCAAAGATATCAAAAGGCTCACCGGCGCTGCCGAGGTAAGAATCGCCCCTTGCCCTATCTGATCTGTCTCTTTTTTTTTCATGGGCAGTGGGCTTGCTTCTCTGATTTTGCTTTTCTGGTTTTCTATTTTTTTTTTTTAAACAGTACTCGCGATTCCTCGGTTGCTCCTATGTAGTACTGTTTGCGTTTGCTTTTTTTTCTTCTGGGGTTGTGCATACATAATTGAGCATACCTACATACATCTATCTATTTTCCCCTTTTATAGGTCTTTTTGTTTACATAGATAACGGTAATTTAAGGTCGGGGAGGAACAAAGGTTGTCGCATGAAATCTTGGAATTTACGAATTATCTAGTATTTGCTGTATAATGAAAAACCATTGTGGCAGTCTTGCATAGCAGAAGACTGTTGGTTCCTGACGCCAGCCCAGCCTCTCGCTTCTCCGCCCGCGTCATCGTCTGGGGGCTAATCTTACTCTCTGAATCTCTCCGCTTTCTGCTTCTCAACCTTCGAACTTGTCTCTATATTTTATTTCAGCTATATGCTCCAGTTTTATCCTCTGATTTGATCAATTCGGCGGTCCGCCCCGCACTTCCTCGGTTGTTGGTATCGCTGCGTACTAGGGACACGCTGCTGTCATCCTTCCCACAAGATGCGCTTGACTGGCGCAATATCCCTTTCGCTTCTCACATTAACTCCTTTACTGGGGTCTGCTGCCGCATGGAGCGAATTTACCGATGCAAACCTCGCTACGCAATCCTACTCCCTCTTCGATGATCGGCCACCCGGATGTCCCGAATGTCCAGCTTGCTTCAACTGCCAGCTCGACAACTATAACTGCACTCATTTTGCGGATTGCAACAACTTCAACGGCAAATGCTCATGCCCGCCCGGATTTGGAGGCGACGACTGCTCAATTCCCCTATGCGGTTCGTTGGCTGACGACTTGAACCGACCGCAGCGTGATTCCAATACATGTCAATGCAAGGATGGCTGGGAAGGCATCAACTGCAATGTCTGCAACTCGGACGATGCCTGCAACGCGATGATGCCCGAAGGTCAGGGGGCGTTTGTTATAAGCAAGGTGCCACGGTCAAGGAGAACTTTCAAATGTGTGATGTGACCAACCGTGCGATCTTGAAACAGCTCGACGGCCGCAAACCTCAAGTGACTTTTTCCTGCAAAGCTGAGGATGACACATGTAGCTTCCAATTTTGGGTTGACCAGAAAGAGTCATTCTATTGCGGCCTAGACACTTGCGAGTGGAACACGGAAACAGACTACAACTCCAATACAACTCACTACAAGTGCGAGCACCTTCAGTGCGAATGTATTCCGGGCCGTTTCCTCTGTGGCGAGAATGGATCAATTGACCTGAGCGATTTCCTTGATCAACTGATCAAGGGCCCGGCTACTTTCGATACTAAATCGACCCTGGAGGGTACCAAGAGCGTTTTCTCGGAGCCTCAGATGAACGGATTAATTGCGGGCGTCTTCGGTGATCCAAGTATCTTCTTGTCATGCGATTCAGGAGAGTGCATGTACAAGACTGACGAACCTGGATACGAGCGCCCCGTGAAGAAAATCAACACTCCACTCATCGCCGGCGTGATCGCGGGAACTTCACTCTTTGTGGTTGCGGTCATTCTAATCGTCTGGTATATGTCCCGTCGTGCTGCGCGCCGCGGTTATATTCGCTTGTCTCTCTCGGATGATTCGGACGACGAATCTGCCAAACTCCTGGCAGACTATCACCCCGCGGCTTTGTACTGGGATAACGTTTCTTATACACTAAACGAAAAAGAGATTCTCTCTGGCATTCAAGGTGCGTCCATACCAGGCCAAATTACAGCCATTATGGGAGCATCTGGTGCTGGGAAAACTTCATTCCTCGATATCCTAGCGCGAAAGAACAAACGTGGCTCAGTGAAGGGAAACTTTTATGTCAACGGTGAAAAGATTGATGATAATGACTTCAGAACCATGGTTGGCTTTGTCGACCAGGAAGACACAATGCTTGCTACCTTGACAGTCCATGAGACCATCTTGACAAGCGCCCTACTCAGACTTCCCCGGGATATGAGCCGGGCAGCTAAAGAGCAGAGAGTCCTGGAGGTCGAAAAGCAACTTGGGATCTATCACATCAAAGATCAATTGATTGGCTCGGAAGAAGGCAATGGTCGTGGCATTTCCGGTGGAGAGAAGCGCCGAGTCGGGATTGCTTGTGAGCTGGTTACCAGCCCTAGTATCCTTTTCCTGGATGAACCCACCAGTGGATTGGATGCCTACAATGCATTCAATGTGGTTGAGTGTCTGGTGACGCTTGCTAAGACATACAACCGCACTGTTATCTTCACCATCCACCAACCTCGCTCGAACATTGTTGCTCTCTTTGACCGACTCATCCTTCTTGCTGATGGACGCACTGTTTATTCCGGTCCTTTCTCATCATGCCAGCAGTATTTCGACCGTGTGGGCTATTCCTGTCCACCTGGATTCAATATTGCAGATTACCTTGTTGATCTTACAATGCACGCCGGAGGCGCACATTCATCATATACAGACGAAGTAGCATTGTCTGTGGATGGGCGCACTGGTCCATCTAAGACCGCATCAAGCAGTCTCAGAGCCGTCAAGTCTGTCACCAGCGCGTCGATCCGGAGTATTGAAGACAACTCAAGCGGCGCAGAGGCGACTCGGAGACCCAAAAGCAAACGCCAGGTGTCTCTGAAACAGCAGCAGGATCGCCAACTTTACTCCCGAAAGCAACATAATGAGCGCCCAGTCACGCCAAAGACAGATGACGAGAGTGCTACATTGGATGTAGCCGATAATCATCAACAATGGCTGCGTCTTTCTCGTCAACAAAGCAATGTTCCTCCGCAAATCCTCGATGATCCCGATCAGCTCCCTCCTCCGGCATCTGGACAAAGTGATCTCGACATTTTGGTGGCTAGCTATGCGGATTCTGACGTTTGCCATTTTGTTCATGATGAGATTCTAACCGCCGTTCAGAATGCCCAGGCTGCGAACGGTTCACCAAATTCGCCCATATTGTCGGATACTGTGATACAGTCTAAGGGCTATGCCCGAGTTGGTCTGGTGCGGCAGTTCATGATCCTTTCTCAGCGGACATGGCGCAACCTTTATCGCAACCCGATGTTGATGCTCACACATTACGCAATTGCTATTCTTCTCGCAGTTTTATCTGGATACCTCTTCTATGGTCTCACTGACGATATCAAAGGCTTCCAGAATCGTCTTGGTCTTTTCTTCTTCATCTTGGCTTTGTTTGGTTTCAGTACTTTGACTAGTCTCAACGTGTTCTCCACGGAGCGGCTTCTGTTTGTACGTGAGCGTGCCAATGGTTATTACCATCCGGTCACATACTTTGCGTCCAAAGTCGTGTTTGATATCGTTCCTCTGAGGCTGATTCCTCCCATCATCATGGGTATGATTGTATACCCCATGACGGGTCTGATTCCGGCATGGCCTGAATTTTTCCGCTTTTTGCTGGTTCTGGTCCTTTTCAATCTCGCGGCAGCCAACATTTGCCTCTTCATCGGCATCATTTTCCGGGATGGCGGAGTCGCCAATCTTATCGGCAGTTTGGTGATGCTTTTCAGCTTGCTCTTCGCCGGTCTCCTGCTGAATCACGATGCGATTCCTAAGTCAGCATTGTGGTTGCAGACTGTGAGTTTCCCTCTAACCTGAGTGATGCTTTCCCTACTAACCATATTACCAGCTGTCCATCTTCCACTATGGCTTCGAGGCCTTGATCGTCAATGAAGTGACTTACCTCACTTTGATTGATCACAAGTACGGCTTGGATATTGAAGTTCCCGGTGCCTCTATCTTAAGCGCATTCGGCTTTGACACCCAGGCCTACTGGAGCGATGTTATCGGGCTGGCTGTCATTTCTGGGGCCTTCATCATCATTGCATACAGTGCAATGCATTTCCTACTTGTCGAGAAACGATGAGCTGGTCCTTACGTGTTACTATACACTGGTATGATACCATCGAGGGTGTTTTCAATGATTCTGTGTTTTGTCTTGGGTTCGACTTGGTCCTTGTCCTTGTCCATGTCCGACGTCGTTTCGTGTTTTGCGGTCATTGCGAAGGGGATTGAAGATCGGCTCTTTAAAGATGCATGGAAGCCCGTATGCTGCGGTCTATAGTTTGTCACTATGTATATAGACAAAATAGACATGCCTAATGATACCTTCATGCCTTCAAAGAACAAAGTTGAAGTTGTGTACATCTACTCCGTATTTCCCATGTACTTACACGAGGGACTGTCCACGTCATCCTCCTACCAACCTTCCAAGGTTGCCACCTGGACAAAAGAACTCGGTTACAATAATCAGCAATATTTACATCGACTACAACACCTTGAATCTATTTCTTATCGAGTACTCTGGACTACAGCATGTACGTTACCAGCCCCGTTTGCGGGTTGCGCTAATGATGACCAGCCCTCCCGACACCGCCGACCGCAGTTCGCTAATCGAAACTCTTTCTTTCGATCCCACCTCATTTCTGCTCAGTACGTTCTTTTTCATCTCCATCAGCTTGAGTGCATTTAGCTTCGTTTTTGTGAGTGAGCTTTGATCCCTCTTCGGAGAGGACTCTGTGCGATTCGTCTGTCTTCCTTGGGCGGAAGAACCCCACAAACATCATTCCGGCCTCTTCAATCCACCTCAACATCACCCACTTTTGTCGCCGACAGTTTACTCATATCCTCTGTTTAGCCATTGAAATTCTGTCAATTATACTTGACGCAACGTCAAAATCGCAATGATGTCTGGCGAAGCATGGCTTTACCTGTTGTCGGTGTTGATCAACGCCGTCAACCTCTTCCTCCAGGTGTTCTTCACGATCATGTACAGTGATCTTGAATGGTGAGTCTTCCCGGTCGTCCCAAGCGACAGCTTTTGATCCACACATACTGCCGAATACAAGCTGACACTTCACCTTTTTTTCCCAGCGATTACATCAACCCTATCGACCTTTGCAACCGCCTTAACGCCTACATCATCCCCGAAGCCGCTGTCCACGCGTTCCTGACCTTCCTCTTCGTGATCAACGGATACTGGCTCGCCATCGTGCTGAACCTACCCCTCGTGTTGTTCAACGCCAAGAAGTACGTTGGAAGCTCCGCGAGTAGTCGCAAGCCCTCTTCAGCAGTAGGCTAACCGTGTCGTTTTTGAAAATACAGGATCTACGAGAACCAGCACCTTTTGGATGCGACCGAGATTTTCCGCAAGTTGAACGTGCACAAGAAGGTATGTTTGGTTTCTACGTCCCAATTTACCGCACAGTGACTGACTCAAAATCGTGTTTAGGAATCCTTCATCAAGCTTGGCTTCCACCTTCTTATGTTCTTCTTCTATCTTTACAGCATGATTGTTGCCCTGATCCGCGATGAGGGTAATTGACTGCGTGAAAAGACCGAATATGCGATGCATCATGGTTCTCCCGGCTAGATCAAGGAACCGTCTGTCGATGAGCTGTTGTCACAAATTCTTAGGTCGATGTCCTCTGGACATTCTTCTCAGCCTATCGCACAACACTGGAACCTGAGTGCAGCCCCAAGACGGCCGTTATACCATATAACTCGGTATGTCGATGCGGTTCCTTATCGTATGGGCGGCCATGACTACGGATGAGCAACGAATTCTTTCAGTCTTGAGATATCTGAGGACTACAGCGATGAGAGGTAATAGATATTTTCTTTGGGGTGTCTCGAGCTGAGGATGTGAGCTGGATTATTCGAGATACTGTATGACTGGCTCGCGGTGGTGCATCTCTTGCTAACATTTGCTTTGTTTTTAATTTTTCTTCTGTGTTAATCTTGTTGTATCTTTCGGCCTGTTGAAGTTGTATATACCTCCCATGCGGTTGGCAATGAAGAGCGTACGATACCCAAGTTCTAACATTTAACTGATTTATTGTTGAGAAATACCATCGCCATCAAATATGCGTACGAAGAGTAACAGTAGACATAATTGACGCACTTAACTATCGTCGAAGCTGCATTGGGGCTGATAAAGAGCTTGGCTGCGGTGGCTGTTCCCCGGCCTTCGTATCGGGGGTCTCCCGACGCCCGTAAAATTCCCATCCACCACCTACTCCGTACCATTTAACAACCACATTCAACCCCGACGTTGTTTCAAAGGGGCATTGAGATCTGCGCATTCACACCCTCTTTAACATATCAATCATGTCCGCCTTACTAGGTCTTGGTTATGACTCCAGCGATGATGACGCCACAGCTATGCCCTCGTCTGTGACGACCGCGACCAAGGTCGTTGCTGCACCAGAGGTCAATACAGAGGTTTGGTCCCCCCATAATCACCCTCCTTCCCGAGTCTCTTTGTGCCTTGCACTTCAGCTATGACGAACAGATAAGACTAACGATCCTACAGGACCAAGCGCATATGCAGATGGCCCTCGCCAACGCCTCATCCCAAGCCCTCACCTACAATGCCACATACGATGATCTTACAAAGCCTTCCCAGGGCCCTCTGAACCCGTTCAAGCCAGCAGGTCCGGGAAACGGTATCAAAAGAAAGAATGTTCCGACTGGATTTGCCGAAGAAGCAGCCATCAGCGAGTCCACATTTTCTGCGCAACATCGCACGTTCCAAAGTCTGGGATACACGCGTAATCCGACACTACCGGACCAATTTATCGGAAACCTCGAAAATGCGGCACAATATGGAGGCCGGGATATTGTGCAAATTAAGCCGACCAAGAGCGCGTCCGCAAACTGGCGGACAAAGCGGCAAAAGAAGGGCGACTCCAGTGTTGTGGAGGGAGAGGGCGCATATCTGGGACCCTGGGCGAAATATCAAAATGACCAGCAATATGACTACGTGGAGGTTGCTGAAGGAGAAGAGCGCTCGCTTGGTAGCGACGAGGAATATATCGAAGAGGAAGACGAGACTCTGACTACCACGGCGCCTATGCCGGCCATGAGTAAGGATGCCACCGCTTACGAAGGTGATCTTGCCACGCAAGAAACCACCGAGTTTCACGGATCAGAGCAGTACGACTACCAGGGCCGGACGTACATGCACGTGCCTCAGGACCTGGATATCGATTTGCGCAAAGAGCCCGGCACCACCAAGAACTACGTACCGAAAAAACTCGTGCAAACTTGGAAATCGCACACCAAGCCGATCACCTCTCTTCGATTCATTCCCAAATCTGGCCACTTGCTGCTTTCATCAGCAGCCGATGGGAAAGCCAAGCTCTGGGATGTGTATCACTCTCGGGAACTCTTGCGGACTTTCTCCGGCCACACCAAAGCAATCTCAGACACAGATTTCCATCCATCGGGGACGACCTTCCTTACCGGGTCATACGACCGACAGATCAAGCTCTGGGATACCGAATACGGTAAATGTCTTGGCCGGTTTTCCACAGGCAAGACACCGCACGTTGTCCGCTTCAACCCTAGCCCAGAACACTCACACGAGTTCCTGGCCGGTATGTCTGACAAGAAGATCGTGCAATTTGACACCCGGTCCGGCGAGTTGGTCCAAGAGTATGACCACCATCTGGCTGCCGTCAACACTCTTACTTTCGTTGATGACAACCGCCGCTTCATCTCCACCTCAGATGACAAGTCGCTGCGCGCTTGGGAATACGGCATTCCTGTCCCGATTAAGTTCATCGCAGAGCCATACATGTTCGCGCTCACGCGTGCGGCGCCCCATCCGAATGGCAAGTATGTCGCCTTCCAGTCAGGCGACAACCAGATTGTCGTCTACAGCGCGACGGACAAGTTCCGCCAGAACCGAAAGAAGCGCTTCGTTGGGCATAATACTTCCGGGTACGCTATCGACCTCAAGATCTCACCTGATGGCCAGTTCCTTGTTTCCGGTGACAGCGGTGGTTATGTCTGCTTCTGGGACTGGAAGACCGGCAAAATGTATCATAAGATCCAGGCTGGTGGGAAGGAAGGTGGGGCTGTTACTTGTGTGGACTGGCATCCCCATGAGTCCAGTAAGGTCGTCACTGGTGGATTGGACGGTGTTATCAGGTATTGGGATTAAAAGCTTTGTGGGGCTATCAGGTGTTTATATTAGTTTGATCAAAAAATCAGACTTGGATATTAGAATCTTTCCCTTTTGTGCACTTCATGCTTTCTACCATAGTCTGCTGTCCATGTTGAACTACTTTCTCGTGTAACAAATTAAACGCGTTAAAAATCCCCCAGGTATCTGCACATTGTTACATATTCACTCAAAAGTCCAAGAAAGCAGCTTTAAATATGAAGATATTTTCGAATGGTCCTCAACCCCACACAAGCCAGATGCCGCGAGCACCGAACCAATCCCACCGGCGAGAGATACTGAGGGTACTTCCACATCAAGATGGACACAGCACCTACACTGGCAACCAAAGCCCCGCTCAAACCAAGACCAAGCACTTGGCTCTGATTCTGAACAGCTTGAACTACCTCGGAGTAGCGCTGGTTACTGAAGCTGACACGGGCATACTGCGTTTTCCAGCCAAGGAACGGGAAATGGCGATCGATAGTTTCTTCGATGGTCTTGCGCAGCTTGTAGAGCGGCGATTTGACGCCCGCGCGCATTTCGAGATAGTTATCCTTCGATAGATCGTTTATTGCATGCGTATCAGCACAGCGCTGGTCTGTGTAGGCTTGGAAGGCTGCCTGGCGCTTGAGACCGCGTGTGTAGACGCTAGAGTTGGGGTCATAGACTCCATGTTTGTCCAGTTCCTCGAAAAGGACCCGGACATCTTCGAGACCGGCATTCAGTCCCTGTCCGTAGAAAGGTAGGACTGCGTGCGCTGCGTCGCCGATAATGACGACACTGGCGTTGAAATGGTGAGGTTTGCATTTGATGCTGATCAGTGGGAGATGCGGGTTCGCTGCAAACTGCTCACTCAACGCCGCGGGCTCGATTAGCTCTGGGCATACGCCGGGGAAATAGGAGTCGAAGAATTC